TCGTTGGCAGCTCTCAAAAAAAAACATTCAATTTCAAAAAATTTTAAAAAGCAAAACATTAAGTTATTGATACTTGTTAGGACAAAAAACTTTAAGGCTTTTCTTGATTTTGTATTTCAAATTAGAGCGCAGAAAATAATTGAAAAATCCCAATTCATAAGTTTGAAATATTAGTTTTTAAACAAAAAATGTCTCAAAAATTAATCAAGAAATATTTGATAAGATTGCTATAAATTTTTACTGAAAGAACTGAAAATTAACTAATAAAAATAATTTTCAATGCTAGAATATATTTATAATAGGCGTTTGGAAAGAGACTTAAATGCAAGTACCAATCTAGATTAAGTTACTCTTGTTAAATTGAAGCTCTAAGCAAACTTTTGAAACGAGTTTTAAATTAGATCCTCGTCTTGAAAGATAAAGGGCGCTTCAGTCAAATTGCTATCAAAGACGTCTAACAGAATTAAAATTTGAATATATATACTTATATATACTTATTTATTTATTTGAAACAAAATTCTTTTTTAATTCAGTTGAAAATATTATGGAAGTTGTTTGTTAGGTATTATCGTAATGGCAACCAGAAGATTTCAACTTAAAGCCGAAAATCATTTTATGAGAAGCCAGGGGAGAGCCATCAAAATTAATAAAAACGAAAATTTTTTCTTCATTAATCTACTGAAATTTTAGCAAATTTTTTTAACAGAACATAATTTTACACAAATTTTTCACAGCAAAAAAAAATAGTCATGGAATTTATTGAAACGTTTCTTGCTTTTTTTCTTAAACTGAGAAAAATTAATGCAAGTGATTTCACATCGATCCAATTGGAACTGATACTTTTTTAAATATGATACAGCTTTCGACCTCGTCGGACGTTGGTGGTACTCGATATTGCTTGCAAAAATAAATTATTTGTGATTAAAAACACAAAAGTACAAAAAAACTTTCAGTAAAAAAAGTCTCAACAACTAAAATGAAGCTTAGACACCATCTAACGACAAAAAATATCTTGCCGTTCAATCGAATTTTTGTGCTCTAGCTGAAAACAACAACAATTTGACGAAAAGTTCCATTCACAACCACTCCCTCCAGAAGCGTGTAAATAAGTAAATAAGACCTTTCAAAGAATTAGCCTTACAAATAGCAGTACTAACGCCTACTGACAAAGATGGGCTGGGATCATTTTCAGTAACAAAATTTCTTTTTCATACTATGGATTTATGTCGATTTAAAATTTTTTTGTTTTGATCTAAATTTTAACTTAAAATACTTGTTTTAAATGGTTTCCTAAAACAGTTTATTTCATTCTTTCCGCCTTTTTAGCTTAAACTTTGAGGAATTTCAAATTGATTTGAATAAATTTGATTTTATATTTTTGTACATATATACATACTGATAATATTAATACTTTATTGTCTTGTTCGATTCTCAGCGAATATCTGTAAATTGGAAACACTATACAAACAAGACTACTCGTATTACAAGGCAAAGACCTGAATGTTCCGACTGGCCTCTATCGTTGACCACAATTTTTGTGATTTACTTTTTCTTTTCATAAATTAATCGAAAAAAAATGAGACATTTTTCATTTTTTAATTCTCATTTCATAATTTATCGCTCCACTCCTCACAAGCTATGTAAAGTACCAATTGATATATTTTCAGTTTGCTAACGTATTTTGGACAGCAAAATGCTTGCTTCAATTTGATTTGAAAAAATATAACTTGCCGCTCACGCTTTTAGAGAAAGAAATATATTGCGCGTTATTTATCCCAATTCGAACTATATTCGTCAAAATAGGCCCATATTCAAACCATTATTATGATTATTTTTTGAAAATTGATCATAGTAAAATATCTTTCCAAATCTAAACCTCAAACAGTTATATTTTTCAGATGAAAGACGAAAATTTCAGACAAAAAAACTTAGGCAAAAAATCAAAAATTGACCGAAAAAAACCAAGCCAAACATAAATTTTACGCATTTTCTTCAAATGTCAGAACAATATGCTTTCGAGTTAATTTCGAAAGCTGGCATTTATTTTTTCAGCTTCTTGCATTTAGCTTGCATTTACTTTTTTACCACCAGAACCCAGAGATCGCAGTTTCTTTTGTTGATCCCTCTTAAACTGGTGGTTTCCGGTAATCAATTTATTCTGACATTGAATTTTTTCTTGAGCACAAATTTTTGTTCAAATCCGGAGCAAAAAACATAATTATTTAAACTTGCTAGTATATGGCTTCAAAAAAAATTTTTTAAACCCAAAAAGTATGTATAATATGGTTTCTTGAGACTCATATGAAGTTTAGCAACTACCAAAATCATTCCAAATCGATTTAACTAACTTTTTAGGCTTTAAAAATGATTATAAGTTTTCCGGATTGAGCTACTTTACCTTGGTTTGAAATCCATTTCAGTTCCTAGGAGGTACATTTTTCAATCAATATTTTGCGCTCCTTTGCCCTTTATAGTGTCCCATTTTTGTTACTATGACCTCCTCTGCGCAAATTCTAAATCTGAGCCTGAGAGCGACGCGAGGCTTTTGAATCTTAATTTTTTGCGCGAATACTTTCAACAAACTTTAAAAAAAAACTTTATACCTTCTAAGTATGCAGATATTGACGTCAGAGACATGTAAAAAAAAATATGTGTGTGTCATAATTTATTACATAGGAGCACTTTAGGTAGCAAAAGTTCGAATCAATTTGTGATTGCGGTCTTTCGCCAACGAAAAGCGAGTCATTGATATTATTAGTTGGTCAAATTAGGTCCAAATTTGTCAAGTTTGAATTCCAAACATCACTGGAATTCGAATTTATCCTTTGGGTTACATAACCTAAGATAACTCTATATGTCAACTCACACATGACCAACGAATGGACTAAAGTCAAAATCAGAACAAATGTAACAATGAAAATACTGAGCTAATTATATTTGACTAAACTTGAACTATTCCTAATTAAGTCCAATTACAAATATTTACCTGAAACAACCAATCTTTCGTCACATTTTGAGCGGACGCAATTCTAGTTATAGTATTCGACATAGCGACAAAATCACTGTTCAGCTCTATCTCTTTTAAATTAAGTTGACAATCTTATCTTCAAAACCAGATCACGAGAAGTTTTGAGAGTCACTTCAAATTATACTTTGCTGTAACTTTTCAACAAAATGTTGAACTCGAATCTTGTAGTTTGCGCTATCTTGGTTGTAGCTCTTGATACCATTTCGGCCCATTTGTATGGCGATTATGTCAAAAACACTGATCCTAACTTGATACGGGAAGTCAAAACCTACAAACGACCTTGGGAAATATACCACAATGCTGCTGAAGTTGACAATGGTAAGTTAAAGTGGTCAGAAACCCTGATCCTATGTATAATATCTGTGTTAGTGACGCATTTCTGATATAAGAATATTTCGTCGAACTTTTTTTAGGTTGACTAAATTGATTTTCCGATCTCTCCCAAAGAACTAAAATTTTGAAAAAAAAACAGGTCAAAAAAGGCGCTCTTAGAGAGAATGGTCAATACATTCTGGAAAATGTTGCGCGCTTCCCCCTCAATATTAGTAAACATTAGCGCCGAAGGCGATTTTAAAAATATTGTAGAGTGCCTCGGCCAAAAATGGATATCTCAAAATAGTACAAATGGGGTCGGAATGGGATCGAATCTGCGAGGAAATAGGCGTGCGCCCCCCCCTGTCCCTGCCATAAAAACGGTACTGTTTTGACTGGCATAAAAATAGTTTAATTATCAAAAAAAAACGTGGGTTGATAAGAGATCACAATTGATACAAGTTAGTTTCTTATTTTTTTTCTGCAGCTTTCATTTCCATTTTGTATATTGTTTATTAGACTTATAACGAGCTGAAAAGCTTCTTCCAAATGCCTTATGCGCATCGTTGAATGTTTCTGGTGTGTTCTAGAATCATTATCAAAAGCAGCAAGCAGACAGGAGTGGTGGACCCTGGATTCCTGTTGTCGGTCCAGAATGTGTTGGCATGTGGAAATGCCGGAAGCTGTCATGGGGGAGAGGACATCCCAGTCTACAGGTGAGCTGGTTTTAAGCAGGTTCTAGAGAAAACTGAGGGAGGGGGCAGGGGAAGAGGGTTCCCCGATAGGTTTACAGGTATTAATAAAATTCCATGCTGTCATGCAAGGGCCAATCCTGGGTTTTTTCTACAGCGGCCAGTTTTCTAAAAATGTTCCCAAAAATTTGTTCTGGCGCCAAATTCCTGACTCCTGCTGTCCTGTATGATTTACGAAGTCTGTTTACCTTGTAATATGTTTGCGGTTTTTAGTAATTATTTGGCTTTCATTCTCAACTGGCTTTTTAACTAACTTTTTAGGCTTTAAAAATGATTATAAGTTTTCCGGATTGAGCTACTTTACATTGGTTTGAAATCCATTTCAGTTCCTAGGAGGTACATTTTTCAATCAATATTTTGCGCTCCTTTGCCCTTTATAGTGTCCCATTTTTGTTACTATGACCTCCTCTGCGCAAATTCTAAATCTGAGCCTGAGAGCGACGCGAGGCTTTTAAATCTTAATTTTTTGCGCGAATACTTTCAACAAACTTTTAAAAAAAACTTTATACCTTCTAAGTATGCAGATATTGACGTCAGAGACATGTAAAAAAAATATGTGTGTGTCATAATTTATTACATAGGAGCACTTTAGGTAGCAAAAGTTCGAATCAATTTGTGATTGCGGTCTTTCGCCATCGAAAAGCGAGTCATTGATATTATTAGTTGGTCAAATTAGGTCCAAATTTGTCAAGTTTGAATTCCAAACATCACTGGAATTCGAATTTATCCTTTGGGTTACATAACCTAAGATAACTCTACATGTCAACTCACGCATGACCAACGAATGGACTAAAGTCAAAATCAGAACAAATGTAACAATGAAAATACTGAGCTAATTATATTTGACTAAACTTGAACTATTCCTAATTAAGTCCAATTACAAATATTTACCTGAAACAACCAATCTTTCGTCACATTTTGAGCGGACGCAATTCTAGTTATAGTATTCGACATAGCGACAAAATCACTGTTCAGCTCTATCTCTTTTAAATTAAGTTGACAATCTTATCTTCAAAACCAGATCACGAGAAGTTTTGAGAGTCACTTCAAATTATACTTTGCTGTAACTTTTCAAAAAAATGTTGAACTCGAATCTTGTAGTTTGCGCTATCTTGGTTGTAGCTCTTGATACCATTTCGGCCCATTTGTATGGCGATTATGTCAAAAACACTGATCCTAACTTGATACGGGAAGTCAAAACCTACAAACGACCTTGGGAAATATACCACAATGCTGCTGAAGTTGACAATGGTAAGTTAAAGTGGTCAGAAACCCTGATCCTATGTATAATATCTGCGTTAGTGACGCATTTCTGATATAAGAATATTTCGTCGAACTTTTTTTAGGTTGACTAAATTGATTTTCCGATCTCTCCCAAAGAACTAAAATTTTGAAAAAAAACAGGTCAAAAAAGGCGCTCTTAGAGAGAATGGTCAATACATTCTGGAAAATGTTGCGCGCTTCCCCCTCAATATTAGTAAACATTAGCGCCGAAGGCGTTTTCAAAAATATTGTAGAGTGCCTCGGCCAAAAATGGATATCTCAAAATAGTACAAATGGGGTCGGAATGGGATCGAATCCCCGAGGAAATAGGCGTGCGCCCCCCCCCCCCCCTGTCCCTGCCATAAAAACGGTACTGTTTTGACTGGCATAAAAATAGTTTAATTATCAAAAAAAAACGTGGGTTGATAAGAGATCACAATTGATACAAGTTAGTTTCTTATTTTTTTTCTGCAGCTTTCATTTCCATTTTGTATATTGTTTATTAGACTTATAACGAGCTGAAAAGCTTCTTCCAAATGCCTTATGCGCATCGTTGAATGTTTCTGGTGTGTTCTAGAATCATTATCAAAAGCAGCAAGCAGACAGGAGTGGTGGACCCTGGATTCCTGTTGTCGGTCCAGAATGTGTTGGCATGTGGAAATGCCGGAAGCTGTCATGGGGGAGAGGACATCCCAGTCTACAGGTGAGCTGGTTTTAAGCAGGTTCTAGAGAAAACTGAGGGAGGGGGGCAGGGGAAGAGGGTTCCCCGATAGGTTTACAGGTATTAATAAAATTCCATGCTGTCATGCAAGGGCCGATCCTGGGTTTTTTCTACAGCGGCCAGTTTTCTAAAAATGTTCCCAAAAATTTGTTCTGGCGCCAAATTCCTGACTCCTGCTGTCCTGTATGATTTACGAAGTCTGTTTACCTTGTAATATGTTTGCGGTTTTTAGTAATTATTTGGCTTTCATTCTCAACTGGCTTTTTAACTAACTTTTTAGGCTTTAAAAATGATTATAAGTTTTCCGGATTGAGCTACTTTACATTGGTTTGAAATCCATTTCAGTTCCTAGGAGGTACATTTTTCAATCAATATTTTGCGCTCCTTTGCCCTTTATAGTGTCCCATTTTTGTTAATATGACCTCCTCTGCGCAAATTCTAAATCTGAGCCTGAGAGCGACGCGAGGCTTTTAAATCTTAATTTTTTGCGCGAATACTTTCAACAAACTTTAAAAAAAAACTTTATACCTTCTAAGTATGCAGATATTGACGTCAGAGACATGTAAAAAAAAATATGTGTGTGTCATAATTTATTACATAGGAGCACTTTAGGTAGCAAAAGTTCGAATCAATTTGTGATTGCGGTCTTTCGCCATCGAAAAGCGAGTCATTGATATTATTAGTTGGTCAAATTAAGTCCAAATTTGTCAAGTTTGAATTCCAAACATCACTGGAATTCGAATTTATCCTTTGGGTTACATAACCTAAGATAACTCTACATGTCAACTCACGCATGACCAACGAATGGACTAAAGTCAAAATCAGAACAAATGTAACAATGAAAATACTGAGCTAATTATATTTGACTAAACTTGAACTATTCCTAATTAAGTCCAATTACAAATATTTACCTGAAACAACCAATCTTTCGTCACATTTTGAGCGGACGCAATTCTAGTCACTGTTCAGCTCTATCTCTTTTAAATTAAGTTGACAATCTTATCTTCAAAACCAGATCACGAGAAGTTTTGAGAGTCACTTCAAATTATACTTTGCTGTAACTTTTTAACAAAATGTTGAACTCGAATCTTGTAGTTTGCGCTATCTTGGTTGTAGCTCTTGATACCATTTCGGCCCATTTGTATGGCGGTTATGTCAAAAACACTGATCCTAACTTGATACGGGAAGTCAAAACCTACAAACGACCTTGGGAAATTTACCACAATGCTGCTGAAGTTGACAATGGTAAGTTAAAGTGGTCAGAAACCACGTCCATTTTTTTGTCTTTTTTTCCGGTTTTCCCCTTCGATTAAAATAATTTTGCTTATATGGTCATTGTGATCCAATTCAAGGGAACAAAGTCGTGATACAAATTTTTCCTGCAATTTTCAGACAACTTTAAATTGCAAATGTTACAAAGGGTGGAAAGGTAAAATGGAAAAAGAGTGGTGAAAAGAGTTTGAGCCCTAACTGAATATAGTAACAGTTATCTCTTTTTATTTCAGAGAATGAGATTAAGAGCACGGAGCCGCTAATGAACTCGTGAAAAAGAGTTTGAGCTATAATTGGATATAATCAGATCGAGTTTACTTTTCTTTTCAGAGAGTGAGGTTAAGAGTACGAAGCCACTGACTATGCCGGCAGAGTGGGACTGGAGAAATATCGATGGGCAGAGTTACGTGAGTGTGGTCAGGAACCAACACATCCCCCAGTACTGTGGCTCCTGCTGGGCCCATGGATCCACCAGCGCCATCGCCGACAGGTAGGGGGTGATAGAATTTAACTATGGCATGACGCCTATTTAATTCTGAAACTCTTGAACCGTAGCTCGGATTTTTGTTCTCAAAGAGTTTTCTCAAGGATTGGCTTTTCAGAAAAATTGTTCATGCATTGGCAATGATAGACCAATCAACTTGGTTTTCTGAGTTCTTCTAACACATACCAATGACTGATCCTATGCAGGGGCGGATCTAGGATTTTCTCGAGGAGGGGGCGGATTTTCAAAAAACCTTCGACGACTTTGACGACTTTTTTGACGACTTTTTTTTGACGACCTAAAAATTTTGACGACTTTTTTTTAGGTCGACCAAATTAATTTTCAGAGCTCTCTTAAAGCACTAAAAAGGCGCTGTTTTGGCCAAATTTTCTGCGCCGCCCCCTCAAAGCTAGTATATATTGGCCTTAAGAAAAGTTTTACGGTCATTCGGCCAAAAATGGATTTCTTAAAAAGTACCAAAGGGGGAACCCTTTGGGTCGGCAGGTGGTCGAATCCCTGAGAGGAGAAATCCGCCCCTGATCCTATGTATAATATCTGCGTTAGTGACGCATTTCTGATAAAAGAATATTTCGTCGAACTTTTTTTAGGTTGACTAAATTGATTTTCCGATCTCTCCCAAAGAACTAAAATTTTGAAAAAAAAACAGGTCAAAAAAGGCGCTCTTAGAGAGAATGGTCAATACATTCTGGAAAATGTTGCGCGCTTCCCCGTCAATATTAGTAAACATTAGCGCCGAAGGCGATTTTAAAAATATTGTAGAGTGCCTCGGCCAAAAATGGATATCTCAAAATAGTACAAATGGGGTCGGAATGGGATCGAATCCCCGAGGAAATAGGCGTGCGCCCCCCCCCCCCCTGTCCCTGCCATAAAAACGGTACTGTTTTGACTGGCATAAAAATAGTTTAATTATCAAAAAAACGTTGGTTGATAAGAGATCACAATCGATACAAGTTAGTTTCTTATTTTTTTTCTGCAGCTTTCATTTCCATTTTGTATATTGTTTGTTAGACTTATAACGAGCTGAAAAGCTTCTTCCAAATGCCTTATGCGCATCGTTGAATGTTTCTGGTGTGTTCTAGAATCATTATCAAAAGCAGCAAGCAGACAGGAGTGGTGGACCCTGGATTCCTGTTGTCGGTCCAGAATGTGTTGGCATGTGGAAATGCCGGAAGCTGTCATGGGGGAGAGGACATCCCAGTCTACAGGTGAGCTGGTTTTAAGCAGGTTCTAGAGAAAACTGAGGGGGGGCAGGGGAAGAGGGTTCCCCAATAGGTTTACAGGTATTAATAAAATTCCATGCTGTCATGCAAGGGCCGATCCTGGGTTTTTTCTACAGCGGCCAGTTTTCTAAAAATGTTCCCAAAAACTTGTTCTGGCGCCAAATTCCAGACTCCTGCTGTCCTGTATGATTTACGAAGTCTGTTTACCTTGTAATATGTTTGCGGTTTTTAGTAATTATTTGGCTTTCATTCTCAACTGGCTGACTCATTTCTCAATTTCATTCAAATTTGATCTCTGTCATCCCACCATGACAATAGCATTCTCTAGCTACCTTCCTTCGGAGATTCTAAGAATCTGTTAAAATATGAGAAGAATAGAAATCAACTGAGCTTTGCACCCTCTATAAATTGCGTCCTTTGAATCCAAGTTTGTATCATTGTAATTTGAAGCTTAACTTTTAAAGTTTGCACGAAAAGCAACTACACATGATAAAGTGATCTTCAGTTTTGGTTTGAGGAATAGAAACTTTAATTAAACTCTCCGCTCTTTTTAGATACATGCACGAGAAGGGTATCCCCCACGAGACATGCAACAACTACCAAGCCAAGGATCAAAACTGCACAGACTTCAACAAAGTACAACACTACTTCTACACTAAGCTAATTCAGATGATGCAAAAATTCAATTAGCTTCAAAAAATGTACCATTTTCATTCAGGTTTTCCAACATTTTGCTTGTTTTTGTAATGGAAACGTTTAATCAAATACGGTTGAAAAATTTTCGCCATCATTGCTAGATATATTTGATCATTACTGCGTTTTGATTACAGCAAAACAATGTATTGAGAAAAAACTGCCAGAGTTAATTCAAAAAATGAAATAAATAATTTTCAGCTGTTGACAGATAATTTTTTAAGAGTAATGAACGTAGTGAAGACTCTTATTTGGGTCTTACTGATATTTTTTTGAGAAAAAGTCGTAAAATTTGTTCACGCTCAATTTTAATTTTTCGCGGTTTGACACTTGTGATTTCTTTTGAAGTTCAGTGGATTTCCGTTATTAAAAGGAAAGCAAACTCCGCTATCGAACAGCAAAAGGAATGACTTGATTGACTTCTGATTTCAAAAATGGAAATTAATTATCAGATATCTCAGCGAAATAAAAGTTTTACGTATTGATCCAGTTTTCTCAAATTGGATTAATATTGTCAAATTGCAATCATAATTCGTTCTAGAAATTCAAAGAGCTTAAAGGGCATCTATTTTTTTTTGTTGAAAATCAAAAGTTGAAAATTTTTCAAAGTCAGTTTGTTTTTGTTGCGACTTTCGATACAAAAGTAACGGAATATTTGTGCTCGGGGTGGGTTTTTTTTTCTTCGAACAAAATTCGACTTTTTAACTAGCCATTTTTGACAGAATTTTTTCATTTCATTCAAAAGGTTTTGTTGTCATGAGCTTAAATTTGAAAAGATATTTCATTTGTGATCTTTTTTGGTAAAGTTATGGGGGTTTAAAGGTTGTCATTGTGGCCAATTTGGGACAAATAATACGCGATATATTTAGCGCTATTAACGCGTAAGCGGAGATTTAATCCATCCTAGAAATTGTTCCAAATTGGTTGAAAGAAGCTTATTTGTCAAAATTGATTTGTTATAAGGAGCGAAATCTATTATTTTGTAAAAATTCATTTTATTTTGTTTCATCTAATTTTTTCAGGTTATTACTGCTCCATAAACCTTAAAAGGCAGTCGGAACACTCAGGGCTTTGCCGTGATACGAGCAGTCTTGTTTATTTTTCGATTAATTATGTTCTTGTGAACCTAATCATTAGAAATTGCAATTAAGTGAATCAGACAGAAAACACTTGTATATTATTATTTTATGCTCGCTCGAGACTACTCTACTTTTTGTGGTTTTCAGACAGCAAAGTTAACAAACATAGTCAACAAGTTAAAAACATTCTCGAGTTGGGCTGATTTTTGAAAATACATCCAAAATTTTTTCGACCACTTTTAGGTAGACCAAATTACCATTTTAATCTTTTGAAGAGAAATCTTACTTGATTCCAAATGGCCCAGTGTTTTTAGTGTGGCACGTGCTGGGGTTTTGGCAACTGCTACCCGGAGACAAACTACACTCTGCACAAAGTTGGCGACTACGGAAGCATCTCTGGTCGGGACAAGATGATGAGTGAAATCTATGCAAATGGACCCATTTCATGCTGCATCAAGGCCACCGACACTCTTGAACTGTTCGAAGGTACCTGCACTAACAGTATTACCAATTATAATTTTAAAGATTATTTTACCAGAGACAATAACAATAAAATTATAGCCACTGGACAAAAATTGTCCTTTTTTAGATGTCCAGCTATTTTTAAAAATTTGGAATCTTTTGCTGCATTTTTAAATTTCAAAAAATATTGTATATGGTTGTGCTGGATTAGTAAGATAAAGAGGAAGGGTGGAACTTGGTTAATACAATGTTATCTGGGTCTCTTTTTTAGGTCGACCAAATTAACTTTCTGAGCACTCCCAAAACACTATGAAGACATTATTTTGACAAAAAAAGTTGAAAAACGTCTCCCAGTTGAAATGACTGCTTTTGGAGCGAAAATTACTGGGTTTTTGGGGCAAAAGTGCCTGGGGCGGGAAAGTCTGGTCACGGGAAAAACAAATCATAAAGGCCGTTTGTGGGCACTTTTGGACAAATTTTAACCATAAAGTTGCGTTTTTCGGTACGCTTCCCTTCAAAGTTAGATTTAGTACGCTTCAAATGTAGTCTAAAATGGATCTCAATGAATAATATCTATGAGAACAACATGAAAAAGGAGCTGGCATTTTTGGCAATTCTGTTTTACAGGAGTTTTCATATGAGCTCTAAGTGAGTGCAGATTTTATTTCATTTGAAACATTAGGTGGTTATGTCTACACCGAATATTCTGCTTACTGGCATACATTCTGTAACCACGAAATCTCAGTGGTCGGGTGGGGAGTGGACAACTCCTCCGACGTGGGGGAATACTGGGTGGTGAGGAACAGCTGGGGGGCATATTGGGGAGAGAAGGGCTGGTTCAGACTGCCTACCAGTCAGGCATTCCCAAATGACCCCTCCAAGAGCGGAAACGATTACAATTTGGCAGTCGAACGCCAGTGCGGATATGCTGACCCGAAAATGACCTACTAGAGTTCACACACATATGTGAAAGATCAGAAGAAACAAATACGTTGGATGAACTTGATTACTTGTGCCTTTAATTATATGATTCTCATCAAAATTTTAAATTTGGAATTATCTGAAGTGTCAATCTTTAGTGGAGAAAAAATCATTATTTTAGTTCATAGAATCTAAATTTTTCAGTCCAAGTCAATTCGAAGAGAAGGTAACTCTTTTTCTTGAAGCAGTTCAGATGACTGGCTGCTTTTTGAGTAGTGATTTGATAATTAGACTAAATTTAAAATCTTGCACCAGATTTTCCTCCAGATCTTCTTTTAAATTTATTTGGAATTTTTTTTTTGTTGCACACAAACTCTAATGCTACAAATAACAATGACGTCGAATAAAAAACAGACTGTTTTTTGAGAACAAGAAAAAGCGAAAAAAATTGAGAACATAACTCAACGTTACCGAGAACATTACCTCAACGTTAATCGATAATAATGTTTGAAAGACATACACCAAGATTTGATCGCAAATAAGTCGAATAATTAAATGATTTTGCTATTTAAAATGAAATAATAAGAGGTTTCCTGGAGCATCTTTGTTTGATTTTGCCTTTTGGCTTTGATTCTTACTCTTTCTCGCTGGACTTTTTTTTAGCAAATCTGTTGTCGGGAAGGTTTGAGCTGATGACAGAGCAGTCTTGCTTTGAAAATACTTAAATAGATTTTAAAAAAAGACAACTTGAACAATACCTCCATCCATTCCGAACAAGATAATTATTTTTCAGCCAGTAGTTTAAAAAAATTTTGTTTTAGAATCTAAAAGAAAATACTACAAAAATGTACTAAAGAAAACTCTCAGAATAAATTTTGCGAAAATATCATATTAAACATCTTGATTTCACCGTAAAAACACTGTGATAAAGGGGTGGGGGGAATCAACTGTGGATAAGTTTCGATGCAATCTTAAGCAATGAAACAGATTGCCAAATTTTTTAACAGGCGGCATGTTTGAGTAAAACCAACCAAGCCAATACAATTGTTTCCAAAACCCCAACCTCCTCAAAGCCGCGATAAAATTTTATTCTACTACCTGCCACGTATTATCTGCCATTTAGTTCTTTGCACTCACTTTTCACCGTGCCACAAGCAGTACTGACTCATTTCTACCATTTGCTTAAAAGATGCTGTATGGGCCGCATTGATAGCCTGGGTCGAGGTTTCGAGTTTCTGTTCGGACCGAACTGATCGAATCAAATATCATTGGACGCAAAATCGCGAAAAGTCTATGGCCTAAATGAGTAAAAAAAATTGAACTGAGTCGAACCATAAAATCGAAATGGAATGAAACATAAAATTGAACTGGGTTGAAACATAAAATCGAACTGAGTCAAAACATACCGTCGAACTGGGTCAAAACCCGAATAAATTGGGTCGAAGTTAGTTGAAACATGTCCAGCCTTGGTCTAAATGGTCGAAATGAAACTATGGGGACCGAGTTTAGTCGAAACATATATGGCTCGGTCGAACTTGGTCGAAAAACTGAAGCTGTTGGTGGCACCGTTCGAAACACATCTAGCTTGGTCGATCTTGGTCAAAACATAAAAATTTTTGGTCGCACCGGTCGCAACATAGGCGTTTTTAGTCCGCCGTTTGAAACATAAAGCCGACTGCAAATGCGTACAAGAAAGCAGTGCTAAGTTTTCACCATACTTCGCTCGCAAAGGCAAGCATTCAAAGGCAATCATTCGAAGGGAAGCATTTTTAAACAGAGAACAGCCGTGGAACAAGCCAAGCTCTGCATGGAAAAACTTTCCGAGGGTAATCACCAATTCCCAAAATGCCAAAGCCAGAAATTGTTCCAAGCCTTATTGCGAAAGTACCCATAATGTGCTGCTGCACGGCGCAGAGGAGGTGTTTCCGCCTCGAGAACAAGAACAACAAGCAGCTAATGCCAATAGTTTGGCTGCTAATAGCAGCATGCAAAATGCATCTAAGACCACGGCAGAACATAAAAATCAACTTGAACTTTTTTCTTTGTTCAACAAGTTTCTTTCGAGCATAGAATTGATACAAGTTTAACAAGTTGAAATGGTTCCATTGTAAGCTAAAGTTGGATCAATTTTGTACTCAAAGCATGATAGAACAATTTTGACCAAAAGAATAGTGTTCAAGTTTGATTTTTAACTTTAACCATAAGACGTAAGACATATAAGAAATCAAGATTAAAACGTGCAACATGAAACGACAAACGTATTTTAGCAAAAAAAAATACAAGAGAACATTAAGCCACTGAACATTGCTTCATCATTGCGCAATGTGTTTGTGTTTTCATAAGGTTTTGTTTGTCATCATTTCGCAATGTTTGAAAATATTTGGGATACTGCAATGTTTTAATATAAAAATGGAGAGGTATTCATAACATAAGTTTTTCGGAAGGCTAAGAACCTAAGGCATACATAAAAACCTAAATAAAACTAAGCCCTGGGTGGTAACCCGCATTCGAGTTCCCGGGACTTTTAGGAATAAATTTTTTCCCATTTTCTTGAACGATCTCCCGTAGTTTTACTCTGAAAGGAGAGTTTTCAAACTTATGAAGCAAAAAATGTCATAGAATGTATCGAAAAAATTGACTGCAAAACGTGTACCAAAAACGTTTGTGTCTTTCAGCGTTATAATGTAATACCTATGTTTAAGTTTTGAAGAGATATTTCAATGTTAACAAGTATGATTTAACAAGTTGATACTTTTTTGTAGAAAATCATTT